TATATATCAAATAAGTTAATTATATTAATATTTAATTATTAATTATTCAATTAAGTTAATTTAGATAATTAATTTTTACACTAATTATACTATTAACTATTTAATTAATTTACTTAATTATTAATATTTTAAATTATATTAATTAAGTTAATCGATAGTAGTTTAATAGGCGTCTAGGGTTTGCCATTCGTCTTCTCTTTTCGTCGGTGCTGTTCGGCTTCGTTGCTTCGCAGGAGGTTTAGAGATTGCACGCGTCGCTTCTTCGGCTCCTTCGTGCTGTTCGACTTCGCTCCTTCGACGACTTTCACTTCCTGTCGGATCGGAAGTTACGACATTTTGATCGGAAGCAACAACGGCAGCTCGCTGGCTGTGAAGGTAACTTTCTCCCTTTCGCGCGCTTCTTCGGCCAAATCCCGTAAATCCGCCGAACCGAGGGATTTAGTAAATCCCGGATTTATGCCGTAAATCCTTAAATCCGGGATTTATCTATCGTGGAAAACCGTTTGGCTGGATTTAGCGTAAATCTCGCTGTAAATCCGATACCAAACAGCCTCTTAATGTCCGAAACCTGTCTTTCTTATGGCACAGAGGCGAAGAAGTTGCAGTGGGAGCTCGCTGTAGAATTCATCAAGCCGGAGTGTGAAGGCATAGGCGGGAGCTCTCTTCTTCCTTGCAATACGAGATGGGCATCAACCTCTTCGACGATGATGAACCCAGCACCGATGAAGCGGACTTGTCCAAGATTGAGATCAACAAGGATTTTGCTAAGCGATTTGAGTACAACAAGAAGCGCGAGGCTCTCCAGAAGTGCGAGGAGCTCAAGAAGCGCGGCGTCATCTCCGACTCCGACGAGTCTTCTGATGAATCCTCCGACGACGAAGAAGTAAAGGATGACTTCCAGTTCTATGATGCTCTTGTTAAGGTGAAGAAGAATGACCCCGCCATCATGCTAAAGGATGCGAAGCTTTTTGCCTCATCTTCTGAAGACGAAGAAGAAGAGGCAGAGGAGAACAAGTCTAAAGCAACCAAAAAGATGAAACCTTTGTACTTGAAGGACGTCATGGCTAGGCAATTGATTGAAGAGGGGCCGGAGTTTGAGGAAGAACCGCTGCAAAAGAACCCTAAGGTGTATAGCAGAGAGCAGGTTGAAGGCCTAAAGGCTTTTCTGCAAGCAGAGAAGGAAGCATTTGGGTCTGATGATGATCATGATGTGATAATTGAGCAGAAGGAGAGCGCTAGAAAAGACACTGACGATGATGAGGAAGTTGAGAGGATTCATAAGGTGGACGAATTCTTTGGAGAAGATGGGAATCTGAACGACGATGAGATGTTCTTGAAAAATTATTGCCTTAACACGATGTGGGTTGAGAAGGAGGACAAAAGAACTTATGATGATATTGGGGTTTCAGAGGATGATGATGAGCTGGAAAAACAGGAACAATATGAGGCAGAGTATAACTTCCGTCATGAGGAAGGGAAAGAGGATCGAGTTTTGGGTCATTCTAGGATTACAGAGGGTTCAGTGAGGAAGAAAAGCAGCAACAGAAAGACACAAAGGAAGAGCAAGGAAGAGAGGATGGCACAAGCAGAGTTTGAGAGGAAGGAGGAGCTGAAACAGCTGAAGAATTTGAAAAAGAAAGAGATTCAGGAGAAGCTTGAGAAGATTCGGGCTACTGCTGGGATTGGAGAGGAAAGTGCCTGCAATCTTGATGCGGCTTGCCTTGAGGAAGATTTTGACCCACAAGAATATGATAAGGCCATGAAGGAGATGTTTAGTGCAGATTATTACAATACTGAGGACGTTGATCCTGGTTTTGGAAGTGATGAGGGGGATGACCTAGAGAAGCCAGACTTTGAGAAGGAAGACAAACTTCTAGGTTTGACAAAAGGTTGGGATTCCGTTGATACAATGGAGGGGTTTGAGGGTATGAGAAATATAATGTTGAAGAGAAATGATGAAGAGGAAGAGCCCTCCCATGTGGAAGGTAAGAGGAAGAGAAAACGAAAGATTTCTTTGAGAGAAAAAGTGCAACTTGACAAGGAACTGGATGAGTATTATAAGTTGGACTACGAGGGTACCATTGGAGATCTGAAAACTAGATTCAAGTATAGGTCCGTGCCAGCTGATTCATATGGGCTACAGACCGAGGAGATATTAATGGCCAATGAAAAAGACTTGAATCAGTATGTTTCACTCAAGAAGTTAGCACCTTACCGTGAGAAGGAATGGAAGGTGACATATCACCAAAAGTTGAAGAAGAATATGATTCTACAAGGAGTGAAATTAGATGGTAAAATTTCTAGCAAGAAACACAGGACAGGAGAAATCAAACTCGCCGGAGATATAGATAAATTAGGGGAAGCTAATGGAGATGCAAATGCCTCATCCAAGCGCAGCAGAAAGAGGCACATGCATGCCCACTTGAAATTGTCCAAATCTCGGTTAATTGCTTATGGAAAGATCCCCTCTAAGTCCCAGAACAAGCATTAACACAGGAGTTTAGAAAAAAACTTCCGTGAAAGGTTGGTTTTTTGTGAACCCAAAGATTGATTTTGGCCAGAAAAATACCTTTTTACTACTAGAATATGTCTACAATGCAGGAAATAAGTTGCTCTAGTCTTCCTGTCATAATAACATACTTTTAATTGAAAAAACCAACGCATGATAAGGAAGCTGTTTGTTAGCTGTACTTATATATGTTTTTTTCATGTAGCAAACTATATGTATCCATTGCAAGTCATGGTTGAATGAGTGCTGATTCTTTCATTTATCACTGCATAATGAAATGAAGAAACTCAAGATACCATTTTGAGAGTTGTAAAGCAATTTCTTCTTTGGCATTCTTAATAGCTATTCATGGATCATCAGACGCTCTCAGCATCAGTTACTCTATTATTCCTTTTATTCATAGCAAATCCAGTCAGGTCAGATTTAACTGCTCACAAACAAGCTCTCCTTGCTTTTGCTGCTGCAATACCCCATGGCAGGAAACTCAACTGGAGTTCCAATACTCCGGTTTGTTCTTTGTGCACTAGACCAAATCCGTGTTATTAGTCTAAGCCTACTCGGGGTTGGTCTCCTTGGCCCAATTCCTGCAAACACACTTGGAAAGCTTGATGCTCTTCAGGTTCTAAGCCTCCGATCCAATGGCCTTGCCTCTAATATTCCTCCTGATGTCCCATCAATTCCTTCTCTGCACTCACTCTTCCTTCAACATAACAATTTATCTGGTGACATACCCAATTTGCTCACACCAAACCTTAACCTTCTTTGACGTTTCTTATAACTCTTTTATAGGAGAAATTCCCTTAGAAATCCACAATCTAACTCACCTAACTGCATTGTATTTACAGAACAACTCCATCAGATAATATCCCTGACCTCAAGCTACCAAAACTAAAGCATTTAAGTTTGAGCTTTAACAATCTTAGTGGGTATATACCAATCTCCCTCTAAATCTTCCCAAAAGAGTTATACTTCTGGAAATAACCAGATGGCAAGAATATTCATACGATGTCTAAGTTAAGATGGAAGTGGCAAGTATACGAGTATACAATGTTAGTAAATAGTTAATATATTCTTAAAATGTACTTAATCGAAAGCTTATAGTATGATAAACAGTAATGTTTGCATTAAAGAATTTATAATTACTTATATCTGAATGTCAACTTTTGTCATGTAGAAATATGTTCAATTACTTGTACAGATAGATTGGCATATCTTAATTTTTTATGAATAAGGCATTTTTCTGTTGGTGTAACCTATTTTCATTTTTCAGCTAACTTAAGATGGGGATTCATGTATGCTGTGGCTCCTGAAAAGAACTGCTGAAGAAGAGCCGTTGAGGAAGAAGGTAAGTCCATTACGTTTGCAGCTAATTATAATCAATTGTTGGAAAAAAGGTCAACTTTTTAACAGTCAGTTGAATGCATTTTAGTTCAGGATAAATTTTCACAATCAACTGAATGCCTTTTAATAAAAGTTGCACTTTAATGGTATGTTGTGTACATTAAGCATGTTAGTATGTTACAGAACTAGAATTTTTTGTTCTCTGTTTGTGTAGATAGCATCACTGCTTCATATACAATGAATAGAAAGATTTTCTATTTGCTATCAAATAATGGGAATTCTTGTTGAAATGAATCAAAATATTACTTAGCCAATTTAGTTTGCATGAACAGTGTTCATGGTATAAACAATTAAATTCTTGTTTTTTTTTGTTAGAATAATGGGAATTCTTGTTGAAATGAATCAAAGGCCATGCATTAAGATAACAAATGGTTACATGTAAGAAGCAAAATGTAAATTAATGCCCGCATTGTTCAATAAAAAAACAGAGCAACAGGCCAGATAATGAACAATTGAAAGAGCAATAGGGGCCGACAAAACATAAACAAATTTGATTAAAGAGCTCAGAAGAAACATCATAAATGCATTTTGTAGATAAATTCTAATGGAAGCATTATTCTTTATTTTGCTGTTAGGAAAAAAAATTAGTTCATTACTTTTGGAGCAAAATTTTTATTAGGATCCAGGACAACATTAACTAATTTGCAAGTCAATTTTGAAATTTTTTTTTTTTTTTTGCATAAATTTTTCTATTTTGCAAGATAGCAATCAGCAGAACTAAAAGAAATTATCTTGTAATATTTAGAGCTATTTTGTAGAATATTTAGAGATGAGTTGTAAAACATTTTAAATTGTCTTATATTTGAACTTTTTTTTTTTATCCAGACTTTTTAAAATGTGCATATGATTAAAGTCTTGTTTGGGACAGCTTTTTTACTGCTTTTAAAAGCAGCTTTCTAGTACCTAAATTTATTCCTGATGATATCTTGACAATTGTTGCACATATGCGCTTTTGCAGGTCATCATAAAATTATTAACTAGCTTAAGGAAGCTATGGTTTGAATGTTGCTGTGCTTGTTTACTTGTGGCTCATCATGATTTGTGTTTTTCATGTATTTTGAAGGAAATTTTTGTATACTTCATGCTTGTAGTTTGTGTTATTTTTTATATAGAAATAATTTATGTTGTTGTTAAATGATTATTTTTTGTTAGATCAATATGAGTTATGATAAAATTCATGATGTGTGGATAATATGAGATAGAAATGTAACAAGTGACATTATACTTGCTTTACTATAGATTATAATCTTATAAGAAAAGCATAATTGGAGTTGAACTTGTTGCCCTTCCTCAATTTGGTGTGGAGGGTAGACGAGTTTTTCTTCTAAGTGTTTGGAAGAGAAATATTCTATAATTAGTAGAATAAATATTGAGTATATTATATATAATTTTAGTGGAATTCATTATATAAATTAATTAAGATATCAGTGATAAATTTTTGTGGGAGTTTACATTTGATTGTTAGAATAAAAAGATAAATTATGATAAAAAAATATATTGTAAGTTTAATGATAAATTTTATAAAATTTTAATTTGGTTGATCATTTTATGTGGATTAAAATGCTAACATATAAAAATACCTTTAAGTTACATGGATAAATGTTCAAAATAATTTACTATAATACAGTTTAACCTCCCAATACTCATCAAGAATCAAAATATCAAATCAAAATAATTGAGAAAATAGCATGAAGATGAAGATGAAGATGATGATATTACTAAAAAAACAATTACCTTAAAACTTGTTCACGAAATTTTTTAAAACTATAAAACGTGATAAATTCATTTGCAAAAATATCACAAACAAGAATGTGCCTTTCGTGTTTTATCACATATAATTAAAAAGTATTATAGAATAAAAATTAATTGTAATTAATTTATACAAGGTATATATGATTTATTTTTAGTTAAATATCTATAAATTTTAATTAATTTTAAATTTATTAATTAATAATGATCATATCATTAAGTAATAATAAATATATAATATTTATATTATATATGCTCATTATTTTTATAATCAAATATTAATTGAATTTTTAACGTGCTTATTTATATAGAATTGAGTTTTTGTAAGCTTTGGGTCAAAATTATTCATGAGTTCTAAGCAGTATTGTTGATAAACATAAATGAGCCAAATATATAATTATTCAAATTTATTTTTTTAAACATCAAGTATTTATTAAAAAAGGTAAAGCCTGCTTGATTACTTAATTGAGTTATCAAGAAAAAAAAAATAATGAGGAAAAATCTAGAAATTATTAATGCTTATAAATGCAAATAATTGATAAAACAATTTATTAAAAATATTGAGGACCAGGTCAATCTTGAGGTTATGGATCCTAAAAGAATTTAGCTGTGCTTTCTGATTGGCCAATGTTTCAAAAAAATTTCCCCTAAAAATCTGAAATTAGCCTGTTGCTCACTAACATATGAGATAACTTTGTATCTTCCAAAAAAAAAAATCACAATAAATCAGATAAAATTTACACAGATCAATAAAAAAAAAAAAAACGGCATTTGATACCCGTATTTGCTTCCGACGGTTTAGGGAACTTTTATTACGTCCGGTGTAAGGATGTAGAGGAACGTCCGGTTGAAGGTAAAATCCCGGCAAAAAACTCGGTATTTGCTCGGTACAACTAGGTATTATTTGATAATAACGAGGAATACCACTCTCTGAAGACCAATACCGAGTTATACCGAGCTGTACCGAGAAATACCGAGTTGTACCGGTAAAACTTTTGTATAACTCGGTATTGCTCAATATAGTTCGGTATAACTCGGTATTGGGTCTTCAAATGATGGTATTCCTCGTTATTGTTTGGTATTGCTTGGTATTTGCTCGGTACAACTAGTTTTTTGGCGGGATTTTGCCTCCGACCGGACGTTCCTTTACGTCCTGTCGGAGAACGTAATAATTGTTCCGGTTTAGGACTTCTGCGCCCTTTGATGAGATCGCAATTTCTGTTAAATAAATAAGTCCTACAGACTACAGTCTGCGCTATCAAAAGAATATGGTTGAAGAGGATTGCAGGTCCACCAAAACTCCCTTCACCCGACATATTGGGGCAAATAAATACATATGAAGGATATCTACAACAGCAAAATAACTTGCAAAATATCTGCGCTTTGTTCTAGTTTTGATAGATTAAAGCTTCGTTTAAGATAACTTTTGACTATTATTTTTTTGTTATTTTTATTAAATTTTCATGCTAAAAATTTACTTTTGAAAGCATTAAGAAAACTATCCCAAATGAAACTTAAATATTTGCTTTCTTAGAGGAACTCGTTCAGCATCCCTCCAATGTAAGCAACAACGCTCAAGTCACAATCAATTAATTGCAAGCATTTGGAGATAGTTCAGTTCAACAAATTGCACCAATAATAGAATTAGTTCCAGATTTGATGACTGAATTAGCAACATAATTAAAGTCGCACTTAAGGATTGAAAAGAATTATATGAAAACAATGAAAATGTTGTTCGAGAAAGGGAAGGGATTTATACGTGAAATGCTTACATGTTTGGAATCTCTATTGCATACGGAATGTCAGAATCCTGAGGTCCTCTGATCATCTTGCAAAGATTACAAACGCAATTTATGATGTCATATATAAAATTCAACGAGTACAAATGGCCTTTCTAGAGAGATTATTACATGTGGAGTCCAGACACACACCATTGCGCTTTTATTATTCACTACTGTGCTTTTACTATTCGTTGTCACAAAGACAAACATTTCTCTGTGTCCGGACTCCACACGTAATAATATCTCACCTTTCTATATATATTTTTCTTTTATATACACCAATGTATATAATATATTGCAATCAACTCTATGCTACGACTTTTTTTTTAGGCATTTAAATCAATTAAGACAAATTCACACACTAGCTTCGAATATAAAACCTCCTGCAACTATCTCACCATGGTAAGATCGAGCTAGAAATAACTGGTAGTTACCTACATGTCTTTTCTGACATGGATACGGTAAATTAGTTCCTGAAAGAAGCCAAAGTAAATTTGCTTCAGATAGAGTAAAATATTATCCAGCTGAAACTTTGAAAATTAAAATAAATTATAAATGGGAAATGCTTGGTCAAACGCATAGCATGAAATCTAAAGATCCATCGGATGGATGACGTGTAACATGTACATACCATGCTATCCATTACAGCGATTTGAAGATTTTATCTAAGCTGAGTTTTGAGGACATCATATCATTACTCAAAAATCATATATATATATATATATATATACATACAACAACAACAATAACATCAAGCCTTTATCCCACTACGTGGGGTTGGCTATATGAATCATTTTTCTCCATTGTGTTCTATTAAAGGTCAAATTCTCGTTTAAATCTAATAAAGAAAAGTCATTCCTAATATTTTCTAACCAGGTCTTTTTAGGTCTGCCTCTACCTCTTAACATAAGTTAAATCTAATACCTCTACTCTCCTAACCGGGTCATTGGAAGGCTGCCGTTATATATATATTACACAGTCAGATAATTTGAGAATCCTCACCAGATCACCTTGGCTAGATGTGAAAGAAGTCAGCAATCCAGCAAGAGATTCTTCTTCCCCCAATATCTGCATTTCCTCAAAGGCATCAAATGGGACCTTCTCAACTTGTTTGGACGGCTGAAAGGTAAGACTTTGAGGGTTTCTCACAAACACGTCAATCCCTTCAACCTGTTCTGATGTTTGAATAGCAATAAACTGCAAAAGTTCATAGACATGTACATATTGGAGTAAGTAATTACTATTTAATTATTTAGAAAAGAAAACTTTAAAAAGGATGGATGGGAAGCAATATTCACTTGTCGTATGTGTCTAATTTGTAAGGTTGATGGGCAGTAAAGATAAGGATTTTTTAATGGCATGTTCTGTTCGTTCAAAGGAAGCAGCTTCAGATGTACGTCAACCTGAGAAGGAATAAAAACAATGATTTAAGACTTCAAGAGTTCTTAAATTTTTTATAAGAAATTAGTCGCATGTAAGATTCAAGTTCTCAAATTCTTACAAGAATTTTTTTTAAGATTAAGTTCTTTAACTATTATAAGTACTCGAAACATGCATAATGAGTTCTCTAACTCTTGCAAGAACTCGTATCATAAATTATGTAAAAGAAATCGAAACGAAAAAATATGAATTTACATTAGTCTTGAATCCACAAGATCTTAAACAAAATGATTTTCACAAGCTTTTAATCGGAAGAAAGCATACCTTGATTCATATTGAATTCGTTGAATTCCAAACTACGGTTTCTCTCCGTTTTCCCTTTCATTTTCTTCTTTCATGAGTTAATTCTCTATGGAACAAACTAACTCCTCATAATGAAAGCGAGAGAGAGGACCGGTAGTTATTTCCTACTGTTTAGTCATAATAACCACTCATATGAGTTATTTGATCAAACGGTCCATAAACGATTGATCAAATTATTTCTTCTTGACCAATAAGATTTCATATAATAATTAAATTTCAATAATTTAAATATATGAGTCACTTAATGGCTTATATAATTAAATATACATAAATAATTATTGTGACATCTCGCATAATTATTATATTTAATTATTCTAACAAATGAATTTCAAAATAAAAGTATGGAACTTCCCTAATTGATAGCGTCATACCTTATCTTCATTGTCATCTAAATTATGCAGGTATTCTATCAACCTGGCTAATCTTGGAGCCCTTGCAAATCTTCCATTAGAACCATTACCGCTACCATGCCGAGTTTGGCTACGAACACCACCTTTACCCCATGAAAGTTCTTTGCTCCCCGCTGGCAAAGGGGAAGTGTGGATCATCTCTGTAGATCCAAGATCTAATCTAGCTGTGGAAGATCCAGGAACTATCATTCGCCTTCTCTTGTGTATTCTATCAGTATAAAGCTCCTCTGAAGAGGAGGAGAGTTTAATGGCATCATTGCCCTCAGCATCTTCATCATAATCAGAAAGTATAGGTGAAACATTACGAGCAGCAGATCTACTTCGTCTGGGATAGTAACTATTTTTTCCAGGCTGGTAACCGCCTTGAGATCTTTTCGTACGAGCAACAGCAGTAACTTTAGGTGTTGAGCTTCTTTGGCCAAGTGCTCCTGACTGTTGTAGAAATGTCTTAATCATGGAAGCTTGAATCTGCTTAGGATGTATATTTTTAAGTTTGGAATACGTGTAACATTCAAAGGTAATATAAACAATTACTTGAAGAGTGTTAAGATAGATAAAATTTCGAGCAAAATCAAATGACGTTAAAGAAAATACACATCAAAGATCACAATCACAAGACATAAGTTTAAATGATTCGATGATATTCAACTACAAGTAAAACCACAAAAATTTCAAATGCATTAATGACCCTTCTCTATGCCAAGGATAGAAGAAACGAAATGATAGATCTATCACTTTTTTAAAGCCCTTAACCACTAATCTTTAAAAGATTACAAAAGATGTTGATGTTACTATTATCATCATCTCTCTTCGACCACTCTCTTCGACCACAAGAGCTTATCCCTACTATAGCTTTAAGCTCAAGCCTCTCTCTCTTTCTCTTCTCTATTCAATTGTGGCTAAAGGAAACAAATACAATGGAATCTTAATACTTGAGGCGATAGATACCAAACTTAGAATTTATTAGGTAGATGATGCTAGGTATCATAATATAAATGTTGGGGATGAGGAGTAAACACCACAACAACGAATCAAGCAAGAAAGTAAAAGCAGCGGTAAGTAAAGGACACCAGGATTTTATGTAGAAAAACTCAAATTAGGGAAAAAACTACGGAACCACACCAAGAAATTCATTATGAAAATGGGGAGAAATAAGTATAGATCTCTCTTCACTCTCGCTCTCTTATTCTTTCTCTTATCACATGCACCATTCTCTATGTCTAACATAACTAAAAATACAAGAGAAAGCCAAGTAAATAACCTTAAGGGACGCAACCCTTCTGAAAAATGAAAAAAAAAAAACCCGTCCAGTATGTCTTGCAGGGTTGAGACGCCAGTTTGGGGTGCTACGGCTCTCAAGCCTCTGTTTGATGACCCTGCGGCGCTGAACTTGTAACATTGCTGCGCCTAATCCAGAGTGGCTTAGCACTCTGCTCTCTGTCGATCAGCGCTGAGGTGGTCAGGAACACAGCGTCAGGCGCTCGGGTACATAGCGCCGGGGCATATGAAAATAAAAAGAATTTAAGACCATCTTTGCACCTGAACCCAAATAGGGGGTAAAGCCCCCGCACCTCCCAGCAAGCACAACAAACTTGAGGCCCGAGGAAACAAAATAACTCGATTGATCAACACAGTTAGATTCCACACATAACAATAAATATTGGGAAAATGATGATAAATGTAAAATTTATGAGAGGCAGATAGAGGATAGTATGCAAAAAATCTATTTGAGTTGGAATTAAAAAATTTATCTTCATATGTTAATTATCTACAACTTAGAAAAAAAAAATTATGTACATGTTCAATGATTGGTTATTGGTGGAATTTTTATATCTTTAACGAATTTAAATATTTTGTGATCGAGTGCAGCATAAAAAATCACACATTATTTTAGGGGATTAAAATACTATTTTACTATGAACTCAATAATAAAACTTGCATTTTTTAATTTAACTAGAAAATTTTCTCCAAGGGTTTATTTTATTTTGAGGCACATGTTCTCCATAGAGACAATCCCTAATGATTAATTATATCCCACAAATTTTCCCTTTAAAAAATTTTGATTAAAATAATAGTTTGCATCAAATTATCAAAATATTGCCTAACACTTAATGCACTTATAAGAAATTTGTGTCAAAGATTTTGTCCTTAGAATTTCAAAGGTGATTGGATCAATTTAAATATAATTTTTAAATGGACATTAAAGGGAGGAAATGTTGGTACTTATTCTAAGAAGCTCAGAGGTACTCAAAATTATGATATGCGAGGTTTCACATTTTAAATTCAAATTTCCATCAAAGTTAACCAATTTAATTTATAATATTAATTTATATTGAGATAACACAATTTGAAGGAAATGCCCAAAAATGTAAGGGATTTCAATGTAAAAAAAAAAAGAACATTGACCTCAAACACTTATCTAAGGTGAGAACAACCGATAAGTAGCACTTCTAATCTAAATTTAGCGGAATACAAGGAACTTACGAACTTAAAACCCCTCCTGGAGTTAAGTCAGTTTGATTCTGGACTTACAACCTTGCCTAGAAAAAATTGTCAGCTAAACCTACCTAAGTGTTTTTAAAATCATACAAGTCTGATCTCAATTTATATGCAAGATATTTTAGGTTATTTCGATTTTAAGAAATAAGGTTTAGCCAAGATGTCTGACTAAGTGACTATCCACATATTTACTCACAATGCAATTTTTTTATCATCTAATCCTTAACATGAGGTTTTTATTCCTATATGCGACTCACTAGGCTATGATATAATATTCATTAATTTAGTATATGGGTTGATGCTAATTTGAAAACACACACATATGGATAAGCCATAAGTTAAATGGTAAGTTGCAGACTCAAGATCCATAAGAAGACTTCGAATTATTTTATTTTTAAATGAAAATGTTGGCTTATTTTTTAATAATCCATGCAATTTTTGTTTGAAAAATTTATTATTCTATAGTTTATTTTAAATTACTTACATTTTAATCAATAAAAAATTTCTATTCCTGTGAGCTTGCCACATAAAACGTCCAAGCCACCACCAAACAAAATAAGAGAAAAAACCTAGAAAAAAATATATGTATTTCGAATGCACGCTCAAAAGAAACAAGCAATCAAGTGAATAAAAATCCTCCTCATTTAAATTCGGCCTTAGGCCCACCTGAAAGGAGGTGGGATTCCCCCTTGTTTGCCTGGCTTCCGCGCCTGGCGTAGACCCACCTTGTCCTAAAGGGACCGATCTATCAATACTCCACTCCCAAAGACTCGCCTTGTCCTGAAAGTGGAAAGATGGAAATTGTTGCTTCACCCTCTTGTATGGCTCCCATGTGGCATCATAGTCGGGTAGGTTCTTCCATTTTATCAGTATTTCCTTGATCCCTCATCCTTGTCACCCCTTTTAGCTTTAGTGGTTTCAACACCACCTCCAAATTATCTGTTAGTGTAATGGGTAACTCTGCACTGGATGTATGATCCCCGATAGCTGTCCTCAACTGTGACACGTGGAACATCAAATGTATAGTAGCAATTGGGATAACTTCAATTAATAAGTCACTGCTCCAATCCTTTCCAATATCTCATAAGAACCAAAATATCTTGGGGGCAGCTTCTCATTTGTCATGTTAGCTACCATCTTTTATCTGTAGGGACGAAACTTCAAGTAGACTCTATCCTCTATCTCAAATTGGATGTCCTTCATGCGCCCATTCGTCTACTTTTTCATTATTTGTTAAGCCCTCAACAAATGTCTTTTTAGTTCAGCCAACACCATATCCCTCTCCTCTAAGTACTGCTCTATCGAAGAGACTGGTTTGCTACTATGCCCAACATGCACCAAGTGAGGTTGATCCCTTTCGTATAACACTTTGAAATGAGTCATCCGTAAAGCCGAATGCTATAACGTGTTATACCAGTACTCCGCCCACACTAGCCACTTAGCTCACAGCTAATGTGTCTTTGAAGCAAAACATCTCATGTACGTCTCAAGGCTCCTATTTACCACTTTCATCTGCCTGTCCATCTGGGGGTGGTAAGCGGAGCTCCTCTTTAATAATTTCCCCTGTCGTTTAAGCAGCCCCCTCAAAAAATGATTGAGGAACACCTTATCTTGACCGAGCATTATAGACTTTAGTATCTCATGCAATCTGACCACCTCTTTGATGAAGACTGCTACCACTATCATTGATGTGTACGGATGTCATGGAGGAATGAAATGAGCATACTTGCTCAATCTATCCACCACCATAAAAATTATTGTAAACCCCTCAGATTTAGATAACTCATTAGGTTGAAGTCTTGTCAATTTCTGTCCTTTTAAGAAGGAGAATCAGACTTTTACTTTAACCCGTGTAATATACTCGGATATGAAATTAAAAGTTTAATGTATTGATTAGAGAATACATAGAAATTTTAATTTTAAATACAAACATTAGTTCAACTTGCTTTTAACCCCCGCGTAGCATTCTTAAGCCCCATGATTGGAGCAGATACGAGAAATTTTGGATTTAAATGAAATATGTGAATTTTAAATAAAAAAGAAATAATCAAATTTTCAAATTTAGTTCATTTCATTTTTAATCTGCGCAACATTCTTGAATACAAAAATTAAAAATTTGAAATTGGTCAGAGCACGAGTGGGTTATTGATTTCAATTTAAAAAAAAAGGATTTTGGGGCAATTTGCTTTTATCCCCACTCATCATTCCTAGAATTTGTATTTGAATGTTTGGGATGATTGTCAGAGCACATGCAACTTTTTTTTATTTTAATATTTTGATACATTGTGCATACCTTTTTATGCATTTGCACAATATATTTGGACGTTTCACTATGCATTCCTGCAATACACTTACATAAGGCACTTGCACAAATATTGAAGCATTTACATGTACACACTTGCACGAACTTCGATGCACTTACACAATGTAATTCCACGGTCAATAGTATAGTTGTATGCCCTTTTGTGAAACACAAAGCATTTGCAAGTAATCGATGCAATTGCACTATTTATTTGGGGGATGCCTAAATAAGATTTCTTTCGGTGATTTAACATATCCCGCACACTTTGTTAAAATGATTGTGCAATCCCTGATGCACAACAGTGCATTGTTTTGTCTCATTTGAAAAGTATTTTTTCATGGGATGTATTATACGTTCACAAAGCATATTGTCAGCTCATAGGACATATATGAGCTCACTTTTTTATAATTATCATGTACATCACTTTAGGGCGCTTGTACACATGTAATGTATTATATATTTGACCACTTAACCCTTTTAGAGAATCATTCACATGCCTTCAACTATTTAAGATGTGTAAAGATTTGATGTGGCAATTGTACATGTGAATGGATAGGCATTGTAGCGTGCTAGTGACTTTGCATTTTAGATTCATCATTTCTCGCATTATGCCCACTTGTGCTTATGTCGCGGATCTAATTATGAGGATTATCAGTAAATATACGCAACATTTCATTTTGAAACTTCAAAAGATTGCCTCTGTCTTATGTTCGCTTGCGTACAAGTTTTATGGATTTGGTGTAGGGGTGAACTGGAATCTTAGCGCATTTTTTGCCTGCTCTCTATTCTACATATTTTTCATGTCCTCTCTTCAACACTTTTTTTTTCACTGTCCAATCTTCCACATTTTTGTTTACATTATTCTCTCTTATTAAGTGGGCCCCATGGATAATCAAATTTCATGTTATAAATAGAGGGCTCTTTGATTCATTTTCACCTATTGACGCACCAACACTTCTCCTCAAAGAGGCGTGCAGTGTCTGACACCGTATCCGACAAGACACTCGTCCGACACTCCTCCGACACGTGTCGGACACGCCGAAAACGTGTCCGATTAAAAAATATTAAAAGCAAATTGGACACGCGTGTCCGACACACGTATCTTAAATATTTTTAGGAATTTTTTTAAATATAATTTCTTGTATTTGCCGGGATTTAGACTAAATTTCTTATTTCCTATCCACAACACCAAATCAACGTCCGCACTTAATACCCAATCATTGAATATTCTTATTTTCATTTCTTTTTTACAATGAAGGTTCTTCATCTCCTCTCTCAGTGACTGATAAACGGCATCAACGTCTGATTCTCGACATCCTAATACTAATCATTTTAAGCACAAATTATAGTTAAATGACTTATTATTTCCAAATTATTTTAAAATTATACTTATTTAATTTTTATATACTATTTTTTAAATATAAAAACTATAATACCGTGTTCGTGTCTTATATTTTCAATAACTGATGTGTCCCGTGTCCGTGTCCGTGTCCGTGTCGTGTCGTATCCATGTCGTCGTGTCCGTGTCTGTGCATCATAATTTTCACCCCAAGCTCATTCACCGAGTGTGTTCTCAAATTCATCGAGTGTGTTCTCAAATTTCTAGGTCTTCATAAGAGTTAGACAATTATATTCTTGCCAATAGGTGAGTTCTCCAAATTCATTGGAAGTCCATGTAAGTTCAAATATTCTCTCCTTTTTACGGCTTCAATCTCATTCCATCATATTAGGAATTTTAAATTCAACTTAATATCATTTTAATATTTTATTTATGTACAAAAAATATTTTTATTTTTTCATATTCAGGTCCCCTATTAGTGCAAATTTTGACAATATTCCAACATCTTTTTCGTGTAGGGGAAATTATTGGGAATGTTATGCCTTCCCACCACGTTAAAAAAATGCGTGCATGATTGGTGTCCAAAGACATCATAGTCGTGGACTTCAATCACACCATACCAGAAAAGGTGTGTATAAGTTTTTATAACATGTTTGAAGGCTCACAATATTTACCCTCCACGCCAAAAATGACATGCAAGGTACTTAGAATTTTCCTGTCATACTACAAAAAACATGCATAGAGTTTGCTCGTTGCATCACAAGCATTGCCTACAAGTTTCCCCTGCCATTTTGCCTATTGCACTAAATGCGCTGCATTCAAGATTTTTTGAGTTTGCAAGTTTGATACCTTCGCGCACATTGCGGTGACAACAATAATGACGACTGGGAGACAACAATGCAAAACATACTCTATATATATATATATTCTCTTTTTTTTTCCTTTCTGATTTCTCTTTTTTTAATCTAGAGAGAGAACGAGAGGGGAAAAGAATTAAAGAGAGAGAGTGTGTTGAGGGAGAGAAGAGAGTAGTGAGCAAGAGGGTGAAGCAAAGAGAGATGGGAGTTGGGGGTAGGAGAGAAGAGAGAGAAATAAAGAAAAAGGGTTAGAGAGATAAAGAGGTTTATAGAGAAAACGAGATGAGAAAGAGTGAGAGAGATGACTCTCTCTATTATATAGGAGAGAGAAAGAGAGATAGAGAGAGGGTTGAGGTGGAGTGAGATAGAAAGAAATAAAGTGATTGAGAGAAAGAGATAACTCTCTATTAGAAAAAAGGAGGTAGAAAGAAATAGAAAGATAGAGTGAAGGAGAAACGGAGGATGTGGCTAGAATGGCCAGTTACAAGCTAAAGAAGAGGGATCGACAATAACTAGGCAGCAACAACGGCACGTCGAGCAAGTCGTGGTTGTTGTGCATGGAGGGCGCAGGCGAGGGGCTAGCTACTGTAGGGAGCCTAAGAGGAGGCTTAGGGCTTGCCGCAAGCTGGTTGAAGCCAATGTTGGACCTGGCTAGGGTTCCTCAGCGAGTATAACAGGCTGGGGACATACGACAAAGAGCAGGGCAAGGGATGGAGAGTGCTAGTTGATGAGAAATAGAGCGTGGGAGAGTCAGAGAGAGGGATAGAGGGAATTGGGGAGGGGAGGGGGGTTGTCACATGTAGATCAAGTACATGCGATGTGCATGGCATGAGCTGCAGCATGAACTCGACATGGAAGGGAATGGGGGATTAGGAATTGTTTGTTTTTATACTGTGAAATTATTATTTATTATTACATAATAATTTATTATTATAACTATTCATTTAATTTTTTGGAAAAAAAAATGTCATCATGCATGCAAATCGATATCGCATCATCACCTACCACATGTGAAATTTCTTTAGCTTTCGCCGCACGAGGACCCCAAGCAACATGGATGTTGATCTTGATTGTTTTTGTTATCTCTAAGACTCTAACACGTTGGCACAGTCCATGTCATGAATAAACGTTATTTGAGTTATTTCAATTTTCTATCAACGTGTTTTGGATTAATTTCACACGACATTGAGTCTTTCATTCGTTGTTTTCATCATACTTGGATTGGATCGATCCCAAAGTGATTATAGAGGTTCACATTGAACTCATTGATGTGATCAATAATAGATGCTCCTTTAGACATCCAAAGATTAAAAAAAATGTACACATAAGATGTACCTTTTTAACAAAAGAGGACATCTAATACATATTTCATAATGCCTTCATCACACCTGTTGTGGACTTCTCATTAAGAATGTTGAAGGCAACATTCTCAGTCAGATATAGAAAAATAACTTCTTGTGCTTGATGTCCATTAACTCTCACTCATATAGTCATATTAATAAAGCCAATAGCTCACACTCATCCTGCAATAGTAGAAGGTTTTGATTCGTTCAAAGGTTAATGAAGCTTTTTTGATAAAAATATTTTTCTAGTTGCACCTTCTAATAATCAAAATTTTGGCCATCAAATTTATTCTAAATATTTTCATCTTACATTGCTCATATATCTGTGAAGCTTAACTAAAAGCTCTGATAGCAACTGTTAGGATAATGATAAAATTTTGAACAAAATCAAATCAAAATGAAAAATAAATACGTAAAAAGATCACAATAAGAAAACAAACATTTTTACATAGTTCGGTGATATTCACTTATTTCTACGGTCACATAGAGATCCAATATTTTACTAAATTTTGAAAGAGTACATCAAATTTTTTTTTCATACACAAGAGATAAAGCTAGAGCCACAACTTCCTCTATATCAATGCCAGAGAAAATGCAACTACCTACGACAAAAATAAGGGAGGCATGTGGAGAATAAGATATTGTTGTTTATATTATAGCTTTGCTTTCTCAGCCGAGAAAACTTATTTCTCTTTTCTCAAATAAACAACAAAAGTTTCTCCCTATTATGACTGAAAGCTTAAGCCTTTTCTCTCTCCATATTTTATTTTTTTTTGCTTGTAATTGTGGCATGCTTCAACAAAATAGAATCGTCTTCTTGTAGTGCTTCAATGTGATAGAAAGTAAGTTTCAATTTATTAGATAAATAGTCGTAGGTATCATAACATAGATATTAGGTAAGTAGTGATATGTAATAAATTTATAGAAGTAGGCGGATGATAGTAGGTAGGAAACTTGTATGAGTTAGATGAAGTAAATTTATCTTCATATTTTAATAGACAGATCCAATTTTGATTGCTCGACAACCTACAAACATTTATTCTTCTCTTCTTCATGAAAGCCTGTCCTAAATCTTGATATCCAAGTCAAACATCATCTCCAATGAAAAAAGAAAAAGAATGAACACACCAAAGTTCAAAGATAAATCAGAATTTATTTGCGTTTAAATATAGTTCCACATGTATTAGTATGTCTAAAAGTCATTTTCATAGTGTGCTTACCTCCTCATGCTTTTCTATATCCGGGAATAAAGCCGCAATCAAGGCATCAAAGTTGGGATCATCTCTTAATGAACGCCTAGTTGCACAGCGAGTGCGACAAACTGGACATTCCTTGTTCCTGCAGAAGTTACAGTAAAGCTAAAAAAATAATATGTACATGCCACAATAATAATATAAAGAAGCTAATAAAATTATCCGAACAATGGGAGAAAAGCTATAGCATGGCGTGTATAATTTTTGATAGATAAATAATTAAGTAACTACATAGCTTACCCAAGTCGCATAGCTTTGTCAATACATTCTTTGCAAAAGCGATGTAGGCACTCCATAAATGCTCTAGTCTTCCGAATAATCTCTAGCACATAGTATAAATGAAAACAGTGAGAAATTTCCTTCAGAAACAAGGTTGCAAAGTCAAATGATATATCACTTTTATGCACATTGAATGTGTATGGATTATGCTTTCATTTTGTCCAGAAAAAATGACATGGCATTACAAGCACTTTGATAAAGCTAAAATTTTTTGCTTAACAATTTGAATTATTATAATGCCAGTTACAGTATGTTAAGGCTTTTGATGATTTGAGCTACTCTTTGCTCATTTTGTTCTATGATGTACTTAGTGCCTTGAACAATTAATTATTATTGTACTTTTTGATATAGGGGCTGGCAACAAATCAATCGATATTGTGTTCATTTACAATCCTGAGCAGCTTTCTGAAATGGTTATGCACAGGAATCTCATAACTTGACCAAAAATAGCCTATAAATCATCAACCACAGACTTTTCCACGCTCCACAACCAGAGTTACCAGAGACATGTAAAATATGCACTTGAAATTACCAGCAGTCATGCACTAGAACCCTACAAATATAATGTAGATTGATGATAGTTTACAGATTCTATGTATGACAACATATATACATGTGAAATAAAAAATATTTGATTTCATTATTTGCATAAAAACTATACAGTCTGATTTTGCACATACCATCACGGTGTGAGCATCTAGGTCCCCTCTTGCTACTTGATTGATGGATCTTTAAGAAATTGTTTTATTTCCTTTCTGATAATGTATTTATCAATGAATATTCCCTCCCTTTAATAGATCTTAGGCATAATATGAGCACAACACAGACGACATTGATAGCCAAGTGCTACACTCTTATTCACTCAGGGCTATGTGGACACCAGACTAAGCTCCCAACGACTAGAATAGTCCTAAAGGTTCAAGGCTTTGATCCTACTATTAAGGAGGAAGCAACTACATCATCAACAAAACATATTCCTGAAAAATATAAGTATATTCTCTCTTCTATAAGCCCTCATGGAGCAAGTAATGGGGACCCATTTTGCACTACTCTATATATATATAGAGGCAGGGTTTGTTGTTTGCTTCCTTTCATGTCCCATACTTCCACCAAACTTTCCATCCATGAGAACATTGATTTTTCTCTAGTAGCTTCTTCCTCTCCTATAAAGGCTGCTACACCTATGTTCCACGTAGGTGTTGGACTCAATTTTTGTGTTGAGTTGACTCAAATTGTGCCGAGCCGAGACCGATTAGGTCCAATCAAGCCCAATCGACTAGATCAAGTACGATCAAACTCAATTCAAGCCCAATTCAAGCCATTTGGTTCAATCCTGGCCTAATCCTTTGACTTTTCGTGTTTCCAAATTGAAAAATCCAAATCAAAGGCTGGGATTATCTTAATGCACTCACTTGAAGCTATGACGCATAGCGCACGGCGCCTAATTCTTTGGAGCCATGGCACATATCGCACGCACGGTGCGCCATTTTAAACATGCACAAACTATATAACAATTATAAAATAATAATCATGAATATGAAATATCATTAAAAATGAAAGACAATCTATCATAATAATGAAAGACAACCATAACATATATAAGTTCGACTAAGCAACATCCAAATATCTTATAATTCAAATATTACAATATTTATTTTAAAGATCAAATAAGAATTTAATCTACTCTTCTTGTGAATCATCATCATCAGCAAATGTTAAAAAAGTTTCATTATTTTCATCAGCATTGTCTCCTACTTCATAATCTTCTTCATCACTCTCATCATCCTCATTCTCAATAGCAACATCATGCCTAATTGAAGACTTCTTCTCTTTCCCTTAGATCTTTCCCGAATATTATAGCTTTTATCATAAACACCAATAGCCTTAGCAACACTTGTCTAAGTTAAATATTCCTCTCCAGCAATAAAGTCATTTTCTTTATCAAACTCATCATCTAATTTTCTTGTTAGCCACTAATTTCCATCATCTATCTATGTAAAAGAAATAGGTTCAATCACATCACGATGATTGAATCTCTGAATCAGTGCTCTATTATATTTCACATAAACTAAATCCTTTAAGCGACCATAATCCAATTTGCTTCTTCGTTTGCTATGAAGTTGTAATTAAAATATTATTACATTACTATATTATGAACATATATTAAAAAATAATACATACACTGTAAAATACTTACATGTTCAAAAATACTTCAATTGCATTAGGGTTAGGGTTATCTAGCAGTGTCTAGAGAGTTGGGAGAGATAAATCCTCCTCTCAAATTGAGGATTAATTGTATCTTGATATTTTCCTTCCAATTTCATCATTCACTATAATCTTATTATTGTTTTTCTGGATTTGTTGGAGATTTGTGGGGAGATATTGTTGAAATTCCTTCATTGATAAGTTCCACTTGAAGTCTACAAAAGTGTTTCCTATTAGACCCTTAAATGATCCTAACAGTTTTAATACCCTTAGCTCTATGTTCCCTTACATGATCCTAAGTGGACTAGTAGCTTAAGTCCTTATACATTCTCATTGAACATTGCATGATTCTAAGAGCCTTAGTGGTCTTAGCTCTAGGTTTCCCTTAGATGACCCTAAGTGGGCTAGTAAAGCCTCATACTTTCTTATTGACCCTTACATAAACCTAAGAATCTTAGTGGTCTTTGCTTTAGGTTCCCCTTAGAAATGTTTAAAATTGCGTATTCGGGTATTGAGGCGTTTTTCATTCATGTGTCGAGACGTAAGTCTCAAGGCGTTTTGAGGCGTAAGCCTCAAGGCATTTTGAGGCGTAAGCCTCAAAATCAAAAGATTGCGTAAACATAAAATAATAAATTTTTTATATACTAATGAGTGAATAAAAAATAAGATTGACTATAGTGACCTTAGCACCCTAGATGAAAATAAAGATTTATATTTTTATCGGCGTATTAGTAAAACTGAAGTTAGAGAGGCTTTAAAGAAAATGAAGGGTGGAAAAGCTGTTGGACCTGATGATATTCCAATAGAGGTGTGTAAATGCTTAGGAGATGAAGGAATTTCATGGCTTACTAAACTTTTTAATACTATTTTGAAGACTAAGAAGATGCCAGATGAGTGGAGAATGAGTGTGTTAATTCCTATTTTAAGAATAAAGGTGATGTACAAGATTGTGCGAATTATAGAGGTATTAAGTTAATGTGTCATACTTTAAAACTATGGGAGCGAGTTTTGGAGCATAGGTTGCGGCGTGATACTAATGTTTCTCAAAATCAATTTGGATTCATGCCGGGTAGGTCGACTATGGAAGCCATACATTTATTAAGAGGTTTGATGGAGAAATATAGAGAAAATAAGGAGGATCTACATATGATATTTATTGATTTAGAAAAAGCATATGATAAAGTTCCAAGAGAAGTGCTATGGAGAGTTCTTGAAAAGAAAGGAGTCTATAATGCTTATATTCAAATTATTAAAGATATGTATGCAGGAGCTATTACTTGTTTTCAAACACAAGGTGGTTTGTCCAAGTATTTCCCTATTTCGGTTGGGTTACATCAAGGATCAGCCTTAAGCCCATATCTTTTTGCTTTAGTCATGGATGTTCTCACTAGACATTTACAAGAGGATGTACCTTGGTGTATGCTTTTTGCTGATGATATTCTTCTTGTTGATAAGACTAGAGAGGGAATTGAAGGTAAACTTGAATTATAGAGGTCAACCTTAGAGTCTAAAGGTTTTCGCTTGAGTAGATCTAAAACAGAATATATGGAGTGTAATTTTAGTAGTAATAGACCTAGTGAGGGGATTGTGACTTTGGGCAATCAAGTCATCACGTTTTAGATATCTTGGATCTATTGTTCAGAGTGATGGTGAAATAGATGGAGATATTATTAGCAAAATTCAAGTTTGATGGTTGAAGTGGAGGAATGCATAGGGCTTGTTATGTGATAGAAATGTACCCCTCAAACTTAAGGGAAAATTCTATAAGATGGTAGTGAGGCCTGCAATGCTTTATGGTGCCGAATGTTGGCCATTAAAAGAGAAGCATAATACTAAGTTAAGTGTGACAGAGATGAGGATGCTCAGGTGGATGAGTGGCTTTACCCTTAGAGATAGGATACGAAATGAGCATATACGTGAAAAGGTTGGAGTAGCTCCAATAGAAGATAAGATTAGAGAAAGTCGCCTTAGATGGTTTAAAATTGCGCAATATGAGGCTCGCCTTGAGGCCCGCCTTTGCGCAATTCCAGTAAAAAACGCCTCGATGCTTACGCCTCGAGTTTTTTT